GAGGGCTAATGTTGGCATGGGGATAGCAAGGAGGGCTAATGTTGGCATGGGGATAGCAAGGAGGGCTAATGTTGGCATGGGGATAGCAAGGAGGGCTAATGTTGGCATGGGGATAGCAAGGAGGGCACTTTTGCAAGAATTATGTTAATCCAGAGGAACCAAAATCACATTTTGAGCAAGGTTTTAGGTTCACGCTGAAATCCCGGCCAGTCTAACATACTGCAATTTCTGGCAGATTTTACCTAAAGCTCAACAAAACACATGATTAAACATGAAAAAACATGACTCCTTTAAAAAACCCTCCTACTTTTAGTGTTTGCAGTGTATTTATTATTAATTTAAACATCATGAAAGTCAATTTAAAAACTTTCATAATTTTCAGATAACTGCTTATGCAGCATGGGGCTGATCTGTATTCATCCTGATCTTGGATCAGGTGGTAGAAACAGACCAGGGAAGGGATTGGATATCTCTAATGGTCACAGGATTATCTGGTTTCAGAGAGATGAACAAACACTTTTCAGTATTAAAAAAAGGATTAGCAGCACTCAGAGCTGAATGTGCAGAAATAGACTTTCTAAAACATTTGCCTGCATGGGACGAACAAGAACTTCAAACTTGGAGAAGCAACATTTATTGTTGAAAAACTAAGCTCAAAAGCAACAAATTTAATAAATATGTCTGTATTTGGTAGGATCCAGTATTATGTTTTTAATGCACCTTTCTTCCATTATGTTTGATTACTTTCTGGCCAAATGTCACCAGAAACGGCTGCTGTACACACAGCATCCTGTTTCTGTCCACAGCAGGGGCCCTTATAAGGTTTAATACTAAAGACTGGCACATAAACTGTTAGTTTAAGCTCCGACCGCACCAACAGCAGCAGCAGAAATGCGCGTGGTGATTAATTTTTTTAATGCTTGTATAAGTTTAGTTCCGACGCGCTGCTGAAGCATCGTTCCTGCTTTAGCTGCACCATTGAAAAGTGGGTTGGGCGGAGCTACCCTATCTTTCTTTGCCTGTAACAATGGCTGTGATCAGTGGGTAAAAAGTAGTTTTAATGTGTTTTTAAGTGAGAAACTGAAAACTTTATCTGAGCAGTCAGTCAGGGGAGTGATCATAGCGCTCTGCATCAACAGTGCTGTGTCTGCCTCCCTGCCAGCTCCCAGATCAGCTTCTCTGATTGGTTGATGCGGAGCGAGCTGTTTAAGTTCTATTTTTCAACTCTGCTGCTTCTGACTGCTAACTGATCAGACCTTTGTGTCTGATCTGTTAGATCTAAGAATCCAGAGCCGCCAGTGTCTTTGGTTCAGCGTCTCTTAATATTGAACCAGGAATTGTAGCTAACTTTTTGTTTCTTGTTATCTTTGAAGGTATTGGCTACGCCTCCATCGTGATCGTTTCCCTCCTGAATATCTACTACATCGTCATCCTCGCCTGGGGTCTCTACTACTTGTTCCAGGTCTGGATAGAAAACATTTTCTTTCTTAGTCGTAGAAATGGTTTTAAACTTGCTCTGATAGGCCTTCTCATTTGTTGTTCAGTGTTTCCAGCCAGAGTTGCCCTGGGCCAAGTGCAATCAGCCCTGGAACACCGATCAATGCATTGAGGACACTCTCCGCAAGAACAAAACCATCTATAACGCCACCAACGCCTCCAACGTTACCTCCCCCGTCACAGAGTTCTGGGAGTAAGTTCCATCCAGTCCTCCCACACACTGCTCTAAATTCCTCCACATTCCTGCTGCTTGATGTTGTGCTTTCTAGCTGAGCATTTAGCGCGGACCTTTGTTTTGCAGACATAATGTGTTGGGGATCAGCAGTGGCATCGAGGACATCGGCCCGGTTAAATGGGACTTGGCCCTGTGTTTACTCCTCGTCTGGGTCATCTGCTTCTTCTGCATCTGGAAGGGCGTGAAATCAACTGGAAAGGTAAATAGATACGAACTGTTATTTAGAGGTTTATTTTTCATTCCTCGCATAATGCTGATGGTAAAACAGGACTTGCTGTCCTGTTTCTCTCTCTTTGACAAAAAAGAACATTGTTTCTCACACGTTTGTTTTTGCTTATTCAACTGTTTTTTATTATTTAGCTGATAAAACTGATGTTTCTTTTGGTTTTCAACTCTTGGCAAACTGAATCCAAGCCCCGCTAACTAGCGGTTCATTTAGAACGCAACGTTCTAAACACCTGATAAGAGGCAATAAAGTTGCTGAAGCTTGTAAAAATTTGCCCTTTGACAGAAATCAAGGTTGGGTCGGTTCTCCTCAAAGAAGGAGGATGAGACTCTCTGCCCTGAAGGTTCATCTACAGCAGCAGCCATTCAATATTTCCCCACTTTCCTAGATGAATCCTTGGATGGTCCCCTACAAATACTTTTTAGACGTCTAAAATATTCTTTCTGTCATGATTTGTGGACATTAAGATCTAAAGAGGAGTGTTATCTCTTGGTCAGACCCTGTAATTCAGTGAAAGGGTGGAGTTAGAGTAAAAAAATATGCATACCCATGAGAAGGCCAGTGGCTGGAAGTTGGAGGGGTTTTTGCTGCATTCGGCTGGCTTTTGAATGGCAAGGGCCACTTTGAATGGCTGCTAGTGTAAGTCATTGATTAGCTGATACCTGTATTGGGCGGGGCCCCGATCCAGCACTAAAATGGTGGCATCGTTATAAGTGAGTACCAACAAATGGGGCACCGATACCATTTTGAGAGCAAAAACTTTCTTCAACTATTGTCACCCGTTCCAGGTAGGCAATAAAAAGTTCTACTGGATTCACTTTGTTTTAGCCTTTTTCCTGCTTACCAAAGCCATGATGGCAATTATTTTAACGGTACATCCAAGCAGTATGCAGTTCTTCATATATAGACACGTCAATTTCAAACGGATGGTATCGCTATCGGCCAATATTGCACAGCCAAGTATCGAGTATCGTGACCAAAAAATGGCATTGGCGCAACACTAATTAGCATAACCAATAACTATCAGAGCTTTGGGAAATGGTTTACTGTGCCTATAAAAACACCAAACCCACTTTTCAACCAAAGCTGTATATGCCAAACCCTCATCCTGATGGTCCTTTAGAGCCTGAAAAGAATTTCACACTGGATGCAATCAGCAGATGTAAACATCGCCATCTGCTGGCAGTACTTACTCACAACTTTGCTAGGGGTGTGGGGAAAAAATCTTTTTGGCAATATGTCAGGATTTTTTTGCTGCCTGATATAATATAAATCTTTTAGTTCCTAGTGTCGATTTTTATTTTAAGCAAAACATTTTACCTAAAACTGAGGGAAAATGGGCTACCATTTTGTGGAGTGTACCACCACTCCAGCAGATGGCGCTGTGGAGGCCTTTTGCTGTGCAACGCAGCGCCATATCTGTAGATGAGGCAGTCACAGTGGAAGACGTGGACTGACTCAAACCCAAAGCAACATGGATACCAAAATAACTAAACGATCAATATCATCTGAACATCTACAAAGGTTGCTTTTTTATTCATACATTTAACTTTGATAGCAGGAAAAATATAGCGAAATATGGTGATATTGGAATATAGTGATAACATTGTGTCGTGACGCTTATCGTAACGCAACACCCATGCCAATATTCACTAGGGATGCACGATATAATCGG